TTTTGTATTCTTAGTAGAGATGGGGTTTCACCATGTTGGCCAGGCTGGTCTGGAACTCCTGACCTCAGGTAATCTACCCACCTTGGCCTCCTGAAGTGCTGGGATGACAAGCATGAGCCACCGTGCCTGGCCAAAAGTGAGACTTTTAATGACAGTGTTGCAAGATCCAGTGCACTGCACCTGGCCAAAAGTGAGACTTTTATTGATAGTGTTGCAAGATCAGGTGTCTGAGGGCAGACACACCCAGCAAGGTTTCAATGAGCAATTTATCTCCTAGTGTGCAGGTCTCTCCCTGGTTCTCTTAGGCTGAGTACTGTGGGAGGTTACAGTTTCCTGGTGTGGCCTACTCATTGTTGTTGGGGGATTTAGGTGTTTTTCCAGGATTCTCTTACTGCATTTTTTTGCAGCCCACAATGCATTATCATCCTAGTCAGCTCAGGGCTCTTCAAGTAGCTGGGTAGGGTGATAAGAACGAACAAAAGCGAGATACTTTGCAGGCTAGTAAATTTTCGTCTTAGACTAATTTTCTTTGATTCAAGTGAGGAACCCAACCTAAAGTGGGGAGGAGGAGGGGCCCAACAAGCAGGCATTGCCCATCCAAGAAAGAACCTATTTCTTCTGTCCTTTGCTGACCTAAACTGGTTCAAGGTATTTTGTCTTAAAATGGGCCAGTATATACATTATATTTTTTTCACCCTATTTCTTTTCTTCTCAATTAATTTTGATATAGAAATATGACACGGCACATTATGTACAACGTACACAATTCTCTGTGTGAGGATGGATGTCAGTGGGAGTTTCTTTTCATCTAATACATGACACACTAGGATGTTTTGAAGGACTGCATCCATCATGTGGCAGTGCAGAGGCAGTTTCCTCCACACCAGTTTTTCTCCTTGGATTAGGCCCTGTGCATTTAGCAATCTACATCAACCTCAAAGATAAATTCTGTGGGAAAAGCTCTTGTCTTGCCTCACACGTGTCCTTATGCTAAATGTTTGGTCTTTGACCTTTGATTCAACCACTGTTTCACAACTAGTTTTCTGAAGTCATCAAGAGACTAACAGGTCTGTGTAAGGGTGCAGCAGGGGTGATCTGATCCTCATAGCATGTTCTTTTTCTCGTTGCAGATTTTACCCATCCGTGTCCAGGGTATGTGTACCTTCAGCTAAGTCACTTTCTGAAACAAATTTGCTGAAGAAAAGCTTTCATATGTAGAAACCTTAATCTGGGTTCCTGTTAAAAAATATTGGGGGTGTGAGTGAGAAGCAAATGATTTTGCAAGCGGGTAACTATGAGCAGAGGAGCTGTAGAAATGTGTGTAGACAGAGAATCAACAGGAGATTTTGTGTGAGCCAGTGTGTCTTCGCCTGGAGTAGGAGAAGTGCACCTCTCACTGACTTATTCTGGTGTTGGTGGTTCTAAGAGTGGATTCTGGAGAATCTCAGCAGGGAAAGGGATGCCTCTCCAGGTAGTCAACAAGACTTCAGGTGGGATCTAATAAAACAGCATTTCCAACATAACCTTCATGTTATACCTGCTTAGGAGGCTGAGGGAGGGTGTGAAAGAGAAAAAGTAAATATAAGCTGATTTATTTATTTTCAGAGTTCAATGTCATCAGGGTGAAATTACTACGTTTTTGAGTATCCTGTGATTTGATCACATCTTATTATTTAAGTGATTTTCTGAGAACACCTGCTCTTTTCTGCCTCTGCCACTGCAATATGTCAGAGCCTTTGATTTGGAACACAGTTCTGTCACAGGCAGTTACTTAATCCTGGAGACAGAATTCTTCTGCGGTGTGCCCAGATGCATAGGAGAAATGGATCCTTACCTTATAGACTAATAGGTTTCATGGCAGCACATTCATTTGTCTGTGCTTGCTGTTGACCTCTGGTATCAAGACATCTCCCTGGGAGCAGAGGACAGAATGAAAACTCACTCTGGGCTCACTATAAAAGCTCCAGTGTCTTGGAAATGGAGGGAGAAACTGTATGTGAGCACACTGTCAGCATTCCATTTCTTCATTTGAATGAGAATATGCAGTTTTACCACCATTTGTGGAAGAGGCTTTCCTTTCCCCATTGTGTATTCTTGGTACCTTTGTTGAAGATCAGCTGACTTTGTATGTATACATTTAATTCTGGGCTCTCTATTCTATGTCTGGCAGTACTTATGGGTGCCACGAACTGGAGCACACTATCTGAATTTATCTTTTTTTTTTGTAGATTTCACTCTCTTGAATGTCCATCCTCTAACACTATTCTTTTTCAGTTACCATGGTTATTTGAGGCATATATAAATTATTTAAAGTCTTAGGATTATCTTTTCCATTTCTGCACAGATGGCTGTTAGCAGTTTCATAGCACTTGTTGTGAGTCCGTAGATCACTTGTGTAGTATTGTGTGTTAGTCAGGTTTACTCTTCCTATCCATGAATACGGGATGCCTTTCAACTTCTTTGCACCTTCTTTACTTTCTAGAATCTTTATGTTGACAACTCATAAGGTAGATTTAACATGACTAAAAAAAAATTTGTGATTTTAAATATTTTGGGCGGAGTCTTGCTCTGTCAGTAGACAGGAGTGCAATGACGTGATCTCTACTCACACCAACCTCCACCTTGGCAGGTTCATCTGATTCTCCTGCCTTAGCTCCCTAGTAGCTGGGACTACAGGCATGTGCCATCACCCCCAGCTAATTTTTTTGTTTTAGTAGAGACATGGATTTACTATGTTGGCTAGAATGATCTCAATCTCTCGACCCCATAGTCTGTCTATCTAGGCCTCCCCAAAGTGCTGAAATAACAGGCATGAGACCCCACACCCGGCCAAATTTGTGATTTTTATACACTCTTTTGTATATCTGAATTAAGTGGCATCAAATAATTTTTTTTTTTTTTTTGGTAAGCTAGTTAACTAAGAAATCACCCCTGTATGCATGGACATTTTCCTGAATTCATCCATTTCTATTGGTAGCATTTCCTCATTTCAGTAAACAATGTATATTTCAACCTGAAACTTTTACCCTCATGGCAGAAAGTGTTCAAGTCCGACTCTCAGCTTCCCTGGTGTAGGTTGCGCAGGCTGTGTGAGGTTGGCCTGTTTGGAATGAAGCCTGATCTTTAGGGACCCTCCTCCAGGAGAGTGACACAGAGCTGCTGAAGCACAGCGCGCTGATCACAGGGGGCCCAATAGGATTTGTGCACACATCTGGTTCCAGAAAGACTTACAAAAGAGGAAATCATGGCTAGTTTTAATTGTAGCACATTAATATTTAATTTTAAAATGATTTCTATGAAAAATTATGCTTAATAGAATATAGATAATTTGGGTAAATTGAGTCCATTTCATTAATACAATAGGCTTTTAATCAAGTAACAATTTTTTTAAACAGATGCTAAATGTAGTACCAGCGTAATTGGATCCTAGTGTACTGATAAGTGTTGAATATGTTAAGAAAATGCTGTTTGTTTAGAAGAGTTTCAAAACATTTGAGAGGAGGAAGGCACTCTTCCATTGACCCTTTCAAAGCGTGCATTTAGTTTCATTTTGGGTTGACTCTTCTCTGTTGCTGCCTGATGCCTCTAGTGCAAGGTGAAGATCTCCATGTCTCATGTCTTTCCTGCTCCCCTTCTCTGCCCTGTTCCACTCAGGGGAATAGCCCAGCATCAACTCAGTCCATGCTTGTTAATCAACCACCTCCATATACCACATCCAGCAAAGCTCCCTGAGTGACTCACAGTCACCAACCGCCAATGAACTGATCTTTCTCTGTGTCCTTCCAGCTTGGCTGAGGACCGCTTGTTTTAAGATACACCACGATACAAAGATGAAGATGATGATGATGATGTCCGTATAGATACCTTTTTTGGTCTTCTGGCAATGTTGCTTTCACAGTTCCTTCACTTCTCAGTTAATTTTGATATATGAAAAATCTGGCAATGCACATTATGTACAATGTACCCTATTCTCTTTGTGGAGCTGGAATTCAGTAGGAGTGTCTTCCCACCTTATAATAATAGTAGAGTGCTCATGTAGCATCCAAATTATCAACTGGAATGCTGGGGCATTTTCTCCCACACCGATTTTCCTCTTTGGATTAAAGCATTGTGCATTTGCATATAAAATTAAAGGGTAAATTCTGTGAATAAAGGTCTGGTTTTTTCTTTTTTTTTTTTTTTTTTTTTGAGACGGAGTCGCTCTGTCGCCCAGGCTGGAGTGCAGTGGCCGGATCTCAGCTCACTGCAGCTCCGCCTCCCAGGTTCACGCCATTCTCCTGCCTCAGCCTCCCGAGTAGCTGGGACTACAGGCGCCCGCCACCTCGCCGGCTAGTTTTTTTGTATTTTTAGTAGAGTCGGCGTTTCACCATGGCCCAGCCCGATGGTCTCGATCTCCTGACCTCGTGATCCGCCCGTCTCGGCCTCCCAAAGTGCTGGGATTACAGGCAGAACCACCGCGCCCGACCTGGATTTTTCTATAGCTATCCTCTGTGTTAGTCTTTGGGGACTTTGACCTGTAGGCTCAATCGCTGTACCACCTTCTGGTTTTATCGTTGTCCAGAATAACAGATCTGTGTAGGCGCACAGCAGAATCTGCTTCTCCGCGATGTTTTCTTTATATAATTGCAGGAACTTGGAATGGAAAACGGTATGTACCATGAAATAACTCTCACTTCTGAGGGAAAAACTTGCTAGCTTCGGTGTATAGAAACCTGATTCTGGGTTCCTGCTGGGAAACAGGATTGGGGTTCTCGTGAAAGTGATTCTGCCAGTATAGAACTCTGGCCCAAGAAGCTGTAGGAAGGGTTTGTCAACCCAGAAGAAAGATGGGGGATCTGCCTCCCAGGTTCAAGCCATTCTCCTGCCTTAGCCTCGCAAGTAGTTGGAACTATAAGTGCCCGCTACCATGCCCGGCTAATTTTTTGTATTTTCAGTAGAGATGGGATTTCACCATGCCAGGATAGTCTCGATCTCCTGACTTCGTGATCGCCTGCCTTGGCCCCCGAAAGTGCTGGGATTACAGGCGTGAGCCACCGCACCTGGCCAATCATGACTATTTTTAATTGTAGCATTTTAAAATTTAACTTCTAAATTATGAAAAGAATGTGTGACTAATAGAATAATTTGGGTACAATTGAATCCATTTTACCAATAAAGTAAGCTTTTAATTAAGTAATAAATCCTTTAAAAGAGATGCTAAATGTAGTAGCAGCATAATTGGATCCTAGTGTACTGATATGGTCTTGAATATGTTAAGAAAATGTTGTTTGTTAGAAGAGTTTCAAGATATTTCAGAAGGAGGAAGGCACTCTTCCATTAACCCTTAGTGTGTGTTTTTGTTTCATTTTGGGTTGACTGTTTTGTGTTGCTGCATGATGCCTCTAGTACAAGGCCAACACCTCCATGTCTCATGTCTTTGCTGCTCCCCTCCTCTGCCATCTCCCTTCCACCCAGCATCAACTGAGTCCATGCTTGTTAACCAGCTCCATACACCACATCCAGCAAAGCTCGGAATGACTCACAGTCACAAACAACCAGGGCACTGATCTTTTCTCTGTGTCCTTCCAGGTTCTTCTGAGGACAACCTGGGTTTAGTGAGACCACCACCAAGTGAAGATGATGATTGTGATGATGATGATGATGATGATGTCCAGGTAAGACCACCTTTCTTTGTCTTCTAAGGAAATGCTGGTTTTCTGATGTGAGAAACAAACTTACCAGTCCAAACCCAAAGAACAGACTCATGGAGCTGAAAAACAGCAAAGTGAGATTTTCTTTCCTTTTTTTTTTTTTTTTTGAGACAGAGTCTCGCTCAACTGGCCAGGCTGGAGTGCAGTGGTGCAATCTCAACTCAGTGCAACCTCCATCTCCTGGCTTCAATCAATTCTCCTGCCTCAGCCTCCCGAGTAGCTGGAATCACAACATGTGTCCCCATGTCCCCATGCCCAGCTAATTTTTGTATTCTTAGTAGAGATGGGGTTTCACCATGTTGGCCAGGCTGGTCTGGAACTCCTGACCTCAGGTAATCTACCCACCTTGGCCTCCTGAAGTGCTGGGATTACAAGCATGAGCCACCGCGCCTGGCCAAAGTGAGACTTTGTGACAGTGTTGCAAGATCCAGTGCACTGCGCCTGGCCAAAAGTGAGACTTATTGATAGTGTTGCAAGATCGGTGTCTCAGAGGGGCAGACACACCCAGCAGAGTTTCAGCCAGGCAATTTATCCCCTAGTGTGCAGGTCCCTCCCCTGGTTCCTCATAGGCTGAGTACTGTGGGGTTACAGTTTTCCTGGGTGTGCCTACTCATTGTTGTTGGGGATTTAGGTGTTTTTCAGGATTCTCTTACTGCATTTTTGCAGCCACAATGCATTATCATCCTAGTCAGCTCGAGGGGCTCTTCAAGTGACTGGGTAGGGTGAGTAAAGAACAGATCATGAGATACTTTGCAGGCTAGTAAATTTTCGTCTTAGACTAATTTTCTTTGATTCAAGTGAGGGCAACTAAGTGGGGAGGAGGAGGGGCCCAACAAGCAGGCATTGCCCATCCAAGAAAGAACCTACTATTTCTTCTGTCCTTTGCTGACCTAAACTGGTTCAAGGTATTTTGTCTTAAAATGGGCCAGTGTAGCCATTATTTTTTTCACCCTATTTCTTTTCTTCTCAATTAATTTTGATATAGAAATATGACACGGCACATTATGTACAACATACACAATTCTCTTTGTGAGGATGGATGTCAGTGGGAGTTTCTTTTCATCTAATACATGACACACTAGGATGTTTTTGAAGGACTGCATCCATCATCAACTGATGCAGAGGCAGTTTCCTCCCACACCAGTTTTCTCCTTGGATTAGGCCTGTGCATTTAGCAATCTACATCCAACCTCAAACATAAATTCTGTAGGAAAAGCTCTTGTCTTTTCCACACATGTCCTTATGCTAGAAATGTTTGGTCTTTGACCTTTGATTCAACCACTGTTTCACAACTAGTTTTCTGAAGTCATCAAGAGACTAACAGGTCTGTGTAAGGAGGTGCAGCAAATTGATCTGATCCTCATAGCATGTTCTTTTTCTACGTTGCAGATTTTACCATCACGTGTCCAGGGTATGTGCAGCTAACTAAGTCCTTTCTGAGAAACAAATTTGCTGGCTTTCATATGTAGAAACCTTAATCTGGGTTCCTGTTAAAATATTGGGGTGTGGTGAGAGCAAATGATTTTGCAAGCGGGTAACTATGAGCAGAGGGGCTGTAGAAATGTGTGTGAACCCAGAGAATCAACAGGAGATTTTGTGTGAGCCAGTGTGTCTTCGCCTGGGTAGAGGAGGAAGTACCTCTCACTGACTTATTCTGGTGTTGGTGGTTCTAAAGTGGTTCTGGAGAATCTCAGCGGGGAAAGAGGATGCCTCTCCAGGTAGTCAACAAGACTTCAGGTGGGATCTAATAAAACAGCATTTCCAGCAACCTTCATGTTATACCTGCTGCTTAGGAGGCGGAAGGAGGGTGTAGAAGAGAAAAAGTAAATATAAGCTGAATTTGTTCTTTTCGAGTTCAATGTCATCCAGAATTGAGAAGTACTCGTTTTTGAGTATCCTGTGATTTCGATCACATCTTATTATTTAAAGGTGATTTTTCTGAGAACACCTGCTCTTTTCTGCCTCTGCCACTGCAATGTCAGAGCCTTTTGATTTGGAGACACAGTTCTGTCACAGGCAGTTACTTAATCCTGGAGACAGAATTCTTCTGCGGTGTGCCCAGATGCATAGGAGAAATGGATCCTTACCTTATGAACTATTAGGTTTCATGGCAGCACATTCATTTGTCTGCTTGCTGTTGGCCTCTATTATCAAGACATCTCCCTGGGAGCAGAGGACAGAATGAAAACTCACTCTGGGCTCACTATAAAGCTCAGTGTCTTGGAAATGGAGGGAGAAGCTAACCTTGAGCGCATTGTCAGCATTCCATTCTTCCATTTGAATGAGAATGTGCAGTTTTACCATCATTGTGGAAGAGGCTTACTTTCCCATGTATATTCTTGGTACCTTTATTTGAAGATCAATGACTTTATGCCATGCATTTAATTCCTGGGCTCTCTATTCTATGTCTGTGATATAGGTGCCACCGAACTGGGAGCACACTCTCTGAATTATCTTTTTTTTTTGTAGATTTCACTCTCATGAATGTGCATCCTCTAACACTATTCTTTTTCAGTTACCATGGTTATTTGAGGCATATATAAATTATTTAAAGTCTTAGGATTATCTTTTCCATTTCTGCACAGATGGCTGTTAGCAGTTTCATAGCACTTGTTGTGAGATCCGTGAATCACTTGTGTAGTATTGTGTGTTAGTCAGGTTTACTCTTCCTATCCATGAATACGGGATGCCTTTTAACTTCTTTGCACCTTCTTTACTTTCAAGTCTTTATGTTGACAACTCATAGAGTGGAGTTACTTATGACTAATAAAAATTTGTGGTTTTAAATATTTTTAAGGCAAAGTCTTGCACTCTAATATTATTAGACAGAAACTGATAACGTGATCTCTACTCACTGCAACCTCTACCTTGTGGGATTCATCTGATTCTCCTGCCTTAGCTCCTAGTAGCTGGGACTACAGGCATGTGCCCATACCCCCAGCTAATTTTTTTTATTTTTAGTAGAGACATGGATTTACTATGTTGCGTAGAATGATCTCAATCTCTTGACCCCGTGATCTGTCTATCTCGGCCTCCCAAAGTGCTGAAATAACAGGCCCTTGAGACCCCACCCACGACCAGTTTGTGATTTTTTATACCACTATTTTGTATATCTGAATTAAGTGGCATCAAATAAATTTTTTTTTTTTTGTAAGCTAGTTAACCAAAAAAAATCACCCCTGTATGCATGGACATTTTCCTGAATTCATCCATTTCTATTGGTATACTATTTCCTCATTTCAGTAAACAATGTATATTTCAGCCTGAAACTACCCTCTGCCGCAGAAAGTATTCAGAGTCACGACTCTCAGCTTCCCTGGTGTAAGGTTGCGCAGGCTGTGTGAGGGTTGGCCCTGTTGGAATGAAGCCTGATCTTCCAAGGACCCTCTCAGGAGAGTGACACAGAGCTGCTGAAGCCGCTGATCACAGGGCCAATAGGTTTGTGCACATCCTGGTTGCAGAAGAAGACTTACAAAGAGGAAATCATGGCTAGTTTTAATTGTAGCACATTAATATTTTAATTTTAAAATGATTTCTGAAAAAGAGGTGCTTAAGCCAGTAGAGTAATTTGGGTAAATTGAGTCCATTTTCCATTGTTAATACAATAGGCTTTTAATCAAGTAACAATTTTTTTAAACAGATGCTAAATGTAGTACCAGCGTAATTGGATCCTAGTGTACTGATAGGGTCTTGAATATGTAAAGAAAATGCTGTTTGTTGAAAGAGTTTTCAAAACATTTGAGAGGGAGGAAGGCACTCTTCCATTGACCCTTAGCGTGCATTTTAGTTTCATTTTGGGTTGACTCTTCTCTGTTGCTGCCTGATGCCTCTAGTGCAAGGTGAAGATCTCCATGTCTCATGTCTTTCCTGCTCCTTCTCTGCCCTGTTCCTCAGAATAGCCCCATCAACTCAGTCCATGTATTAATCAACCTACCCTCCATACACCACATCCAGCAGCTCCTGAGTGACTCACAGTCACCAGCACGCCAATGAACTGATCTTTCCTCTGTGTCCTTCCAGCTGGCACAAGCCGCTTGTTTTTAAGATGCACACGATACAAAGATGAAGATGATGATGATGATGTCCATGTAAGATCCCCTTTTTTGGTCTTCTACAGCAATGTTGCTTTCCTGATTCCTTCACTTCTCAGTTAATTTTGATATGAAAATCTGGCAATGCACATTATGTACAATGTACCCTATTCTCTTTGTGGAGCTGGAATTCAGTAGGAGTGTCTTCCCACCTTATATGTAGTGAGTGCTTTTAAATGACAGCATCCATTATCTTCAGATACAAATATTTCCCACAATTTCTCTTTGGATTAAGCATTGTGCATTTGCATATAAAATTAAAGGTAAATTCTGTGAATAAAGTGACATTTTTCTATAACTATCCTCAGTGCTAGGCTTTGCAGGGACTTTGACCTGGGTTCATCAAACATTACCTTCTGGTTTTATCGTTGTCAGAGAATAACAGATCTGTGTAGAAGCGCACAGCAGTCCTGATTCTCGATGTTTTCTTTTATATATTTGCAAGGAACAGCTTGGAATATAATAATTGTATGTACCATGAAATAACTCACTTCTGAGGAAAAACTTGCTAGCTTCAGTGTATAGAAAACAATTCTGGGTTCCTGCTGGGAAGAAGGCTTGGGGTTCTCACTTAGAGAAAGTGATTTTGCCAGTATAGAACTCTAGCCCCGAAGCTGTAGGAGGTTTGTCAGCAGAAGAAAGATGAGGGATCATGTGAAGCAGCGTGGGGTGGGAGAAAAGCCCATCATTCAGTTTCAGCTAGAAGTGGAGAAGGCAGGTGGAGTCACTCCTCTCGTAGGCTTATCCTGGTGTTTGCTGCTGGAGCTTGGCGCTAGAGTGATGGCGAGGGCTTATCCGTGCAGGGCTACGTGCCAGGAAAAACCCAATGGGAAAAGGTTCCCAGGAGCCTCCAGGTTATCCTTGCTGCTTGTGAGGAGGGGCTGAAGGAGGGAGTATGAAATCAGAAAAGAAAATGGAAATATGTGTAAGGAGTCTGGCTTGTTGTTCCAAGAGTTTCTTGGCATCATGGTAGAACTGTCTCTATAGGTATGGGGTTGCCGAGTTCATGAGAGATTGTCTTTGCAGTCCACCTGCTCTTTTCTGCCTGTGGAACATCAGAACCTTTGGTTTGGATTAGTCAAGCCTCCTAGGGATTGTGCACAAGGGGTGTTGGCCTGAGCACTGGAGTGTCATCTGTGATGAAGGGACTCTGGGGACAGCTCTCTCTGAGCATTTCCTGGAACCCTAGAGAAACAGTTCTTCTGCTGTGTGCCAAGGGGATATCAAGTCACCCTCCCCCTGAACTTTCAGGGCTTGTTGAGTGCATGTTCATGTTTCTGTCCTCACTGTGTACTCCTGGTTTAAAGGGATCTCCTGGGGTGGATAGGCGGAGGAATATTCACGCTGGGCTCACTGGTAAAACTCCAGTCTCCTTTGAAGGGAGGAGGAATGTTTGACCTTGAGCATGTTTCAGCCTCCAGTTCAACTCAGTCACAGATTCTGAGATGAGGTTTCTCTCTCCCCAGTTCTCTAATTTTGGAAAGCCAATGGTTCCTTCCCACAAGATACTTTATCCACACTCTTCTATCTTCAAAACTTTGGCTGGTTTTGTTCTCTAAGTTGATATTCATCATAAGTTCTAGACTTTTCTTTTTTTATTTTTTTTTCTGAGACAAGTCTCGTTTCTGTCTCGCTCAGGCTGGAGTGCAGTGGTGTGATCTCAGCTCACTGCAAGCTCTGCCTCCCGGGTTCGTGCCATTCTTCTGCCCCAGCCTCTTCAGTAGCTGGGACTACAGGCGCCCACCACCACGCTTGGCTAATTTTTGTATTTTTGATAGGGGTGGGGTTTCACCATGTTGGTCAGGCTGGTCACGCACTCCTGACCTCAGGCAATTTGCACACCTCAGCCTCCCAAAGTGCTCAGATTATAAGCATGAGCCACTGTACCTGGCCAGAGTTACTTTTAATATAATTGTGTCTATCTCAAGTAATGGTGCTTTGAGTATTTTTGTCAATGGTTTTGGAGACTAGCACCAGCACGCACTTCTGTGGAGTAGACTGTTACAAGAGGCATATCTTTCATTATCATAAATAATGTCAAACTTTTTCCAAAATGATGACACCAATTCATGCTCCTCTAACAGTATATATGAGTAGCCATTTCTCCAAATCTTCATGGACTCTTAGTTTATCTCTTTCTAAAATTCCATCACTGGTTAGTCTTTCATTTGTATAAAATATTACTGAAAATCTTTACAAAAGAAATGTTGTTGACTCTAATGATGCAGCGCAGTAGGTTTACATTTACACCGCCTCTACAGACACGTAAGTAGCATAGCATACGACATTCCAACAGTTCTTGACTTTACTAGACAAAGGGAAATTTTCAGCTTTGTTATAATCTTATGGGACCACTGTCATACATGTTGTCTGTCATTGACCAAAATGTCATTCTGCCACATATGACTGTAGTTAATAAGCAGGTGCTTAAGTTATAAGAATGAAAATAATAACATATAAATTGAGTATATGGGCATTTCTGTATGTTGCCTCCTTCAAGTGTCACAAATCATTTGAGGACAGGAATTAGTTTGTTATAGTCATTAGATACATGAGGAATGTGAGTCTCAGCTAAGAGCTAAGAGTTTGCTCACTGCAGACTCCACCTCCTGGGTTCATGCCATTCTCTTATAACCTCCTGAGTAGCTGGACTACAGGTGCCTGCCACCACACCTGGCTAATTTTTGTATTTTTAGTAGAGATGAGGTTTACACGTGTTCGCCAGATCGTCTCCATCTCCTGACCTCGTGATCTGCCCACCTCGGCCTCCCAAAGTGCTGGGATTACAGGGATGAGCCACTGCACCCGGCCTAAACTGGTTTTAAATAGAATTTTATATGAAGTTCTTTAGGCAATAAGTAAAAATGGAAGGGAAACCTGATGGCAGAGAGCAGCCAGGACCACAGTTGTCTGTGGATGCAGAGTCTAAGGTGGAGCCTGAGAATGCACCAAGACCGCACAGTGCAGACAGTCAGATTTAGTAGCAAAAGCGCATTTCTCATTTATCTAATCAGCAGAGCACCTAGTAGCACATGGAGAGAACAGGAAGCCTGAATGAGTCGGGCGATGGAAGGTCTCCAGTGAGGGGATCGTGGAAGATGTGAAAAGCATCCTGGAGGAGGAGGTAGTCATGCAGCATAGCCGGTCCTGTTTCCTCCCCACTGGAGACCACGTGGTGCCCTACAAGAGCAATCTGGTGGTGTGGTGCTGGGGAGGAGAGGGGAGCCAGGGCCACAGATCCTGTGCAGGGATTCAGAACCAGAGGCTCCTCAGAACAGGCACGGAGATGGTCTGTAGAGACCCTGCTCCCTCAAGTAGGGGCATGAGGGCAGAGAGGAGGAAAGCAGCCCCACATAGGAGGACACCCAGGGTGGGGAAGCAGGTCTCTGGAGAGCTAGGTTTCAGTCCAAGCAAGAAAGGGAAGAATGTTCAGGGAGTGGCTGAGGCCTGGGGCCTCCAGAGGGTTTGGAAAAAGGTTTCAGCAGATGGGGTCAAAAGGAGTATTCGGGGCCTCGGGGAGGTGAGCTGAGCTTCTTGCAGCCCCTGATGCAAACAGGGATGAAGGACATAGTGAGATTAGTCCTGAGTCTGAGGCAGAGCGGTGAAGGCTGTGAGTTTGGGAAAGGGAGGGCCTGGCTGGGAGGGCAGGTTCTGGGCCCTCTACAGTCCTGCCAGGGTAGGTCAGGCCCAGAGAAGCGGGGCTCCCTCCTGGCTTACCTGCACAAGAGGTGTACCCTGGTCAGGGTGCTATCTGAACTGCTGTGGGTGAAGAAGCAGCTTCTCCTGGGCGTAGGACCCCAGGCACCTGCAGGATGCAGGGATCCAGGCTCCCTCAGATGCCTGCTGATGAGTTTCCTCTGAGGGGGCTACTCAAGCCAGCTTCCTGGGTACCCACAACCTACAAGCCTTGTTTTCAGTATGATGCACCTGGCACTGCAGAATCATACCCACTTATGACAAACACAATTACTATCCCCATTTTAGAACTAGGAAAACTGAGGCACTTTGAGCAGTTAATCAGCACCCCAGGCAAGATAAGCGGTCAGTGTAGAGCTAGAGGTCTCAACACAGGTGGCTCCCTCCCACTACTGTGGGCTTATAGCCACTGGCTGTCCCACTGCCCTTGTCCAGCCTTGGCTGTCTGGGGTGCCAGTTTGTGCCTTTGGGCTATAGTTGAACTACCAGTTGCCACTTCAGGCTGGCTCCACTTACCTCTCCCAGCAGCTTCTTACATCCCAAAGGCTGATAATGGTGTGGTAAACGGGCCTTGGAGAATGGAGGCGGGGTGTGGTGCTCAGGACTTCTGGAGTCCCAGCACTTAGGCTGTGTTGTAACAGAGGCCCTCCCCTTGTAACAGAGGCACCTCTGTCCCTGGCTGATGAGTTCCCGCATCTCTGATTTCTCCTCAGCCTGGACTGCAGAGGCGGGAGCCCAGGAGATGCTGGTGTGGAGGCTGTTTAGTGGGATGATGTCATAGTGCACAAAGCTGGGAGTACTCTCACTGAAAAGGGATTGTCTCTCCTTCATCCAGGGTGAAGCCCTCCCAGGAGCTGACCAGGGAGCTGACCCAAAGGGCAGGCCACCGCGTGCTGTAGGAACATCTGAGGGAGGCTCAAGCTCTGCCATCAGGCGTTTTCCCAGGCTTGGCATAAAGAAGTGATGGAGACTTTGGAAGTAACTGATTCCTAGGCTCCCCTCCTGGACAGCACCAGGAATGTGCCTTTGAGGTGGCTGGGCTTCAGGCCAGCCTGAGGGCGATGCTTGGGTGACTGGAGAATGCAGCTATTTGTAGGAAGATCTTAAGGAGAAAACCAGAACCTCTCCCTCTCCCGAGCTCTCATCCTTCCAGAGGAGCCACTAATAAATCTCAGTCAAAAGACATAGTCATCCACAGTCAAAAGAACCTCCATCGGGTTTCACCTTTTGCCTTCTTTCCTGCCACCCAGAGTGGTGAGGGGCAGACCTGGCTGGAGACAGAGCCACACCTAGCCATACCCCATGGGTCAATCCACTGGAGCTTCTGAGCCTGCTGCAATAGGTTCCCTTCCTTCCCCCAGCCCAACTTCCTGCCCCAGCACTTTGTCCCTGGAGGCCTCAATCCTGCTCTCTACATTCTGAGGGGAACTCTTGGCCCCAGCAGACAGTAAAACTCCAAGGCCACCTCCCACCCACCCCCAGCACTGGGTTTGGCGCTACCACCCAGGACCTGGTGCTTCTAGGCCTGGCATTTCCCCTTTGGCAAGAGAGTGAGAAGAGATAAAACTGTGCTCCAGGAACAAAAAGTGCCATTCCGACTTGAAATAAAGAGTCTGGCGCATTGATTCAGGTGCAGAGGTGGCTGGTCAGATCCACAGCCCAGCTGAGGGCTCCAGGGCTTCCTCAATGACATCGATGGCGATCTGAGTCGCCTGTCATAAGGTCTTGCCTAAGTAAGCCTTGTTGTGAGTCCTCTCAGGGACACGGAAGGTGTGCACGTGGGCCTGCCTGCAGGACCTTGCAGTCCTCGGGGGCCTCTGGCAGCATGGTGAGGCCCTGGTGGCCTTCAGGCACACCCTGCATGGGTGAGTACAGCAGCTCCAGGGAGCAGGCTAATGGCTTGTTTGTGCATCAGGGCCACATACTTCCCAGCAGGCCACCTTTAGGAGGCCAAGCTACTTCTTGGCCTGGAAGTGGAGCTCACACTGCCCCCTGACAACCTAGCCCTCAGGGGGTGCCACTATCCCCACCCTGCGGTCTTGCGCAAGCTAGAGAGGCAGAGCTAGGAGCTTTCCCATCTCAAGCGCTTCTTTTGGGCAGGTGATTTTCAACTTGGAGCAAAGCTCTCCTACTGCGACCTTTGGGTCTGGGCAGCAAACAGAGCAAAGCTGCTCCTCAAGGCTCCTGAGGATGACAGAAAGTGATGGCAAGGATGGCGGTCTGAGTGAACACAGGAGGATGCGGGGAGGCTGGGGAGGCTGCAGTTTCAGAGAGAAAGCTCTCTCCTGGAAAGCCACTCTCAAGGTCCCATGGGAAAGGACCTCTGTGCAAACCCTAAGGCGACGGGGCAGGGTGGTGCCACCATAGGAACATGCATTCCACAGACCACCCAGGGTCTGGCGAGTAGCCACACTTGGATAAATACTCACCCAGGCCTCTAATGGAGACTCTCAGAAGAAAAAGCCAGGACTTAGGAAGGCAGAGGCTCCCCAGCAAGGGACATAGCCACCTGTGGCCAAGGCAGGGACTCTGGGGTCAGTGACCGGCCACGTCCTCTGTGGGGGGCCGGTGTGAACCTCCCCCAACTTTGTCAGCTCACCAAGTCTTTGTGCTCCCCCAGTTTGAGGCCAGGATGCCATTGCTGATCTTGTGGCCTGGGAGTGAGACAAGACACTGCGCCTCCGTGTCCTCACCTGTGGGCTCCCAGACCCATTGCCTCCCTGGAGGGTTTCTAAATGTGAGGTTTGGAGACATCCGCCCTGCACTTTGGGGCTCTCAGTGACCGCTGGGTGTCAGGATCATCATGTTAACTTCTCCTGTTCTCACCCCTTCCTCATGGGGAGGAAATTGCAGACCCTCTCCTGCATCCTCCTGCAGGCAGACCAGCCAGGTCAGGATGAGCTCCGGAGCTGCTCCTTCCTCTGCAGCTTCCACACCAGTGACTCCAGAGTCAAGACCACCTTGCTGATGATACCTTGGGCCCCTGCAAGACAGGAAGGGCACTGAGGGTGGGCTGGGCCATACCTCCCATGCTGGTTGGCCTCAGGGCTCAGGAAGGATTTGCAAGAGCAGCTGGGTGGAGTTTGAAAAGAGAACTTACAAGTTCCCTGTCACCCCCTGAAGCTGCCTGGCCAGGGGCCTGAGAAGCCAGCAGGAGTCTGTGGGTGAAGCCATGTCAGGGGCTGAGAGGGGCAGGTGCAGAGGGACCCAGGAAGGGCCAGCACGGTGCAACTAGCATCTCAGGAGCATCTGCCATAGCAGGGCACAGTGGCCTGAGAGGCAGCAGCCACCCCTGGGAGATCTGGCAGCTCACTGCCGTGGGGTCCAGGCACACACCAGGAGACCCTTCACTCTTCCTACCACTGCCCCAGAGTAGGGGCCAAAAAAACTCCCCTTTCCCATCCAAAATATTTCAAAGGGGTTGGGGACTCACGCCTGGTCAGACCAGCCCTTGAGAAGAGCTTGGGTTCGACTCTGAGATGGAAGACCTAGAGTGCAGGCCAGTGTCTCACACACCAAAAAGAGCTGTGCCCCAACTGCGTGACCAGGGGAAGCCATAGGCTCTGGCCAAGGGTCTTGGAGGGGACCTGGGGCTCTGCAATGGGAAGTCTCCACATGGCACAGCTGGGGTGCAGGTACTGGGAGAAGTACAATGAGGCAAGCCTCGCCCATAGACAGAGCCCCACCTGGCTCCTCCCAGCTGGAGCTGGAAGCCAAGGGTGAGGGGTTACACTGTCCCAGCCTGAGCAAGAGGACAATTCCGGACTCGGGGCACGGGAGTGTGCTCAGCAGGACTGGGCGGACAGGCCCTTTATTCAGGAAGGTGAAGAGTACAGCCTTCCAGGGCAGGTGCCTGAGGCTTCCAGACAGGCTTCTTTGGGAAGTGGCCAGAGGAGATGCCTGTTTTCAGGGCAGGGAGGTGGAGGAACGTCCAGGCTGGAGAGAGTTGGACCAGGCTGTCACAAGGCTTGGGAAACTTCCCATATGAGAAAGCCTGGCTGTTGGAGGCGTGGGTTTTGGAACTTGAGGCTAGGGGATTCTGTTCAGTCTGGTGCCAGCCACAGCTTTTGGATGGGCAGAGCAATGATGGAGTGAGGAGTGTAAAGAAAAGTACCGAGGAAAGAAAGGAAAACCAGCTTTAACAACAGTCTAGGCTGGAGTGCGGTGGCTCACACCTGTAATTCCAGCACTTTGGGAGGCCGAGGTGGGTGGATCACCTGAATTCAGGAGTTTGAGACCAGCCTGGTCAACAGATGGTGAAATCCTGTCTCTACTAAAAATACAAAAATTAGCCGTGCGTGGTGATGGATGCCTGTAATCCCAGCTACTTGAAAGGCTGAGGCAGGAGAATCACCTCGGGGCGAAGCAGGAGGCAGAGGTTGCAGTGAGCTGAGATAACACCACTGCACTCCAGCCTGGGCTACAGAGTGAGACTCCGTCTCTTAAAAAAAATAAATACAATCTGTACTGTAGAGGCCTTGGGTGGGTGTCCGAGCTCTAAGCATGGACTGTGTTCCCTCTGTTGAGGCTTCACTCCTTCATCCTCTGGTTGACTCAACTCGGCATAAGAGTCATTTCTTCTAGAGCCTGTCCCTGACTCTCCAATCCAGGATATGTTTATTGTCTGAGAGCGCCCAACTCCTGCCACCACTTGTCATTTCCATTCACAACATTTGTTTCATTGTTTTTTTTTTTTCAGATTCGGGGTCTCGCTCTGTTGCCCAGGCTGGAGTGCAGTGGTGCAATGCAGCTGGGTGCCTCGACCTCCTGGGCTCCGCGATCCTCCCCCACTCGGCCTCCCAAATAGCTGGGACCACAGACATGCACTGCCATGCCAGGCTAAGTTTAAGTGTTTTCTTTTCAATTTGGAATCTTGCTCTGTCACCCAGCTTGGAGAGCAGTGGTGCGATGTCGGCTCACTGCAACCTCTATCTCCTGTGTTCCAGCAATTCTCTGCCTCACCTCCTGAGTCACCACCATGCCCAGCACTGCAGAGAGTTCTGTGAGTGCTGACCTCGACTCGATAGTTTCTTGGGAATTCAGAACCCGGGGCCAGGCACAGTGGCTCATGCCTGTAATCCCAGCACTTTGGGAGGCCAAGGCAGGTGGATCACTTGTTGAGGTCAAAAGTTCAAGACTAGCCTGACCAACATGGTGAAACCTTATCTCCTAGCAAAATGGAAATTTAGGGCCGGGCATGGTGGCTCACGCCTGTAATCCAAGCACTTTTAGGAGGGCGAGGTGGGCAGATCATTTGGTCAGGATATTGAGACCATCCTGGGTAACACAGTGAAACTCCATCTCTATTAAAAATACAAAAAATTAGCCTGGCGTGGTGGCGGGTGCCTGTAGTCCCAGCTGCTCAGGAGGCTGAGGCAGGAGAATGGTGTGAACCCGGGACACGGAGCTTGCAGTGAGCCAAGATCACACTACTGCACTCCAGCCTGGGCAACAGAGCGAGACTCTGTCTCAAAAAAAAAAAAAAAAAAAAAAAAATTAGGTGGATGTGGTGATGGGCACCTGTAATCCAAGCTACTTGGGAGGCTGATGCAGGCGAACTGCTTGAACCTGGAAGGAGGTAGCAGTGAGTCAAGATTGTCTCCACTGCAGTCCAGCCTGGGCGACAGAGTGAAACTCCTGTCTCAAAAGAAAAAGAATTCAGAGCTAGTTACCTTTTCAAGAGGATGAGCAAGTGCATATCCTGAGCCACTTCCCCCTACTTGACAAGTTACCCAGTGGCATTCTGTAAACACAAGAGGAATTTAAGGGTGCAAACAGAACAGCGCAGTCCACTGTGGGTGGCTGTTCTCTGTGTGTCAGCGGGAGTCAGGAGCTGTGACAAGCAGGTGTGAGCTGGCTGAGGCCACTAGCTCCCAGCACAGTGTTGCCACAATGCTTTAATATGTTTAAAAAAAAAAATGGGCCAGGCAAGGGGCTGGGAGCGGTGGCTCACGCCTGTAAGCTCAGCACTTTGGGAGGCTGAGGCAAGCAGATCACCTGAGGTCAGGAATTCAGGAACAGACTGGCCAACATGGTGAAACCCCATCTCTACTAAAAATACAAAAATTAGTTGCGCATGGTGGTGGGAGTTTGTAATCCCAGCTACTCTGGAGCTGAGGCAGGAGAATCGCAGAAAGCTCAGGAGGTGGAGGTTGCAGTGAACCAAGATTGCGCCATTGCACTCCAGCCTAGGCGACAAGAGCAAAACTCTGTCTCTAAAAGAAAGAGATAAAAAGAAATGGGCCAGGTGGACTGGGCGCAGTGGCTCACACCTGTAATCTCAACACTTTGGGAGGCTGGCGTGGGCCAATCACAGGTCGGAGGTTTGAGACCAGCCTGGCCAACATGGTGAAACCTCATCTCTACTAAAAATACAAAAATTGGCTGGGTTTGGTGGCAGGTCTGCCTGTAATCCCAGCTACTTTGGAGGCTGAGGCAGAATTGCTTGAACCCAGAGCAGAGGTTGCAATGAGCTGAAATTGTGCCACTGCACTTCAGCTGACTGACAGAGCGGAACTCTATAAAAATAAAATAAAATAAAATGAAGAAGAAGGAGGAGGAAAAAGAAAAAAAGAAGAAACAGCCAGTTGTGGTGGCTCACACCTGTAATCCCAGCAATTTGGGAGGCAGAGGAGGAGGAGCAGGAGGAGCAGGGGGAGGAAGGAGGAGAGAGAGGAAGAAGGAGGGAAGAAGAAGAGGGGAAGGAGGGAGGAGGAAGAGGGTGAGGAGGGGTAAGGAGGAGGAGGAAAAGAAATGGAGGAGGAGGAGAAAGAAACAGCAGGCTGGGGGCAGTGGCTCATGCCTGTGAGGAAAGCGGAGGAGGAGAAAAAGAAAGCGGAGGAGGAGGAGAAAGAAACAACCCAGGAGGCAGAGGTTGTGCAGGCTGAATCATGCCACTGCACTCAGCCTGAGGAGACAGAGCGAAACTGTGTCTCAAAAAAAAAATAATAATAATATGTAGTAATAGTAATAATAACAGCCAGGGGTGCCACGGTGGCTCACGCCTGTAATCCCAGCAATTTGGGAGGCTGAGGCGGGAACATTGCTTTCAAACCAGGAGTCTGAGACCAGTCTGGGCAACATGATGAGACCCTGTTTCTACAAAAAATTAAAAATTATGGAATGGTGGCACAGAAGCCACCTACAAGCCCAGCTACTCAGAAGGCTGAGGTAAGAGGATGACTTGAGCCCAGGAGGTCGAGGCTGCAGTAAGCTGTGGTTGAACCACTGCACTCACGCCTGGGCAGTGGAGTAAGACTTTGTCTGAAAAATATAATAACAAAGTTTGAAATACAGTAAATTACTGAAATGTGACACAAAAGACACCAAGTGAGCATGTGCTGTTGGAAAAGAGTAGTTGCCAATCCACTGGGTCAGCACGGGGTTACCACAGTCCTGTAATATATTGAAAAAAATGGGCCAGGCAAGGGGGCCGGGTGGGGTGGCTTACGCCTGTAATCTCAGCACTTTGGGTGGCGGGGCAGGTGTCACCTGAGGTCAGGAGTTCAAGACCAGCCTGGCAGCCCAACATGGTGAAACCCTGTCTCTATAAAATCACAAAAATCAGTTGGGTGTGGTGGCACGTGCCTGTAATTCCAGCTACTTGGGAGGCTGAGGCAGGAGAATCGGCAGTCCCGGGAGGCGGAGCGTTGCAGTGAGCCGAGATCACGCCACCGCCTCAGCCTCCAGGTAGCAGAGTGAGACTCAGTCTCAAAAAGAACAAAATGTGGATGCTATGCCATCTCTCTGCCCTCGGCTCCTGGGAGTAAGGGTCACCAGTGACCTCCTAGAAGGCCAGGGACAATGGAGATGTCCCACGGTGCTCTTCAGAGCCAAAGGGAGCAGTAGGAATTGGGATCTTGCAGTCTACCTCCAAGCTGTGAGGAGACAGTTGCAGAACATAGGCAGTGGGGCAAGTCAGTGCCTCTTTGCCTGCCCCTGCAGCAGAAGTTCAGGACACAGAGCCAAGACCAGGAGGGCCTGGTGGAACAGTGGTGAAGAGCATGGGTTCTGACTTCAGACTGCTGGGCTGCAGCCTGGCTACCCACCCCAGGTAAGGGAAGGCTGCATGCCTCCCTGTGCCTCAGTTTCCCCTTCTGCATAGTGGAGTTGTATTGATGCCTACTCCAGAGGGTTGTGTCATCAATTAGGATGGCACCTGGCACCTTGGTCAGTGGCAGGAAAAGTTCAAGCTTGGCTCTGGTCTAGGAAGTGCCTGAGGCCCCTGCCACCATCTCCTTGGGGTGATGCCATGTGGTGGGAAAGACCTCAACTTCAA